TTGAGCTCCTGGCCTCAAGTGATCCTTCCCTATCAGCCTCCATGGTAGCTGGGACTACAAACGCATGCCATCATACCTGGCTAATTTTTCTGGGTTTTATTTTTGTGGAGATGGGGGTCTTGCTATTACCCAAGTTGGTCTCAAATTTTGCCCTCAAGCGATTCCTCTTGCCTCTGACTCCTAAAGTGCTAGGATTACAGGTGTGAACCACCATGCCCAGCCTGTCACCCGTTAAGTATCATCATCTCACATCCAGATGGCTGAAGTTTCCTAACTGGTCTCCCTGCCTCCAATCTTCCTTGAATTTTCTTAAAACTCATAATTAATGTGTCATCCCCTTACTTGAAACTCTTCAACAATCCCCTCCCTACATTCCGCAAAACATCTTACATCTGGAGCACAATTTGGCTCTAATTCATCCCTCAGATCTCATCTCCTATTTCTTTATACACTGTATATTCAAAGAAATCTCCAGTGGCTCAAGCGGCTAAGGCACCAGCCACATACACCTGAGCTGGTGGGTTTGAATCCAGCCAAGACCCACCAAACAATGATGGCCGCAACCAAAAAATAGCTTGGTATAGTGGCAGGTGCCTTTAGTCCCAGCTACTCAGGAGGCGGAGGCAGGAGAATCGCTTGAGCCCAGGAGTTGGAGGTTGCTGTGAGCCTTGGTTGCTGAGAGATGCCTTGGCTCTCTACCCAGGTCAACAGCTTGAGGCTGTCTCAGGAAAGAAAGAAAGAAAAAAAAAAAGAGATCTCTAGTAATCTTTTATTTCTAAATGCAGCTTGGTCCATTTCCTTCCACACGCTTATCATGCTATTCCTGCCACCCATCCCTTCTAGGCTCAGCCAAAAGTTCACCTATGTGATTGTGCCTTTCTTTCTTTCTTTTCTTTTTGAGACAGAGTTTCACTATGTCGCCCTTGGTAGAGTACTGGGGCATCATAGCTCACAGCAACCTCAAACTCTTGGGCTTAAGTGATTTTCCTGCCTTAGCCTCCCAAGTAGCTGGGACTACAGGCACCCACCACAACACCTGGCTATTTTTTGTTGCAGTTGTCATTTTTGTGTAGCTGGCCCAGGTTGGGTTCGAACCCGCCAGCATTGATGTATGTGGCTGACACCAGAACCACTGTGCTATGGGCGCTGAGCCAACAGTGCCTTTCTTAATACCAGTGGAAGAGGATCCTGCCTCTCTGCCCTTCCAGAACACCTGATATATATAACAATGCATGAGGCTCTTTCTCAAAATATATAACACAAAAGGATGCTAGCTATTCTATCACAAGAGACCTGGGGGCCTGGGACAATAGAACATTCTATAGTAGAACAAAGCCCTGGAAATCAATTAGCACACATGCGTTGTTGGATACCCAATGTAGAACCAAGATATAAAATCTGGAGATTTCCCATTAAAATCTCACTCTGTTGCCCAGGCTAAGTGCCATGGTATCAGCCTAGCTCACAGTAACCTCAAACTCCTGGGGGTTTAAGCGATCCTCCTATCTCAGCCTCCAGAGTAGCTGGGTCTACAAGTGCCCACTAAAATGCCAGGCTAATGTTTTTCAACTTTTTGCAGAGACAGAGTTTTGCTCTTGTTCAGGCTGGTCTTGGACTTCTGAGCTCAAGCAGTCCTCCTGCCTTGGCCTCTCAGAGTGCTAAGATAAATCTGACTGACTCTTGGCCATCTTTTGAAAAAAAGACACTCTTCCAAAAGGTATGCCTGGATGACCAAGTCTAAAGTAGGCTAACTCAGTCAGTCTCTTTAATAGAGATTGACTCAATTTTTTTTACAGTGCTCTACCAAAGTTGTTCATTTACTTTAACTTGTAATTCCTTCATCAAGAAGTTAAGCCTCCTGAAAGAGAAAAAGCTTTTGTCTGTCTTGTTCAAAGCTATCTGCACCACTTTGTCAGTCATGGGGGTAACTTAGAAGCCACTCAAGAGTGAATGAATCTGGCCTCCTTTGGTTGATACCCATGAAAGGTACCAATGAGTTGGAGCAGAGTAGACTTTGTGGAATGAAGGATTTCTGCCTGCCTACCCCTTTTAGAGGCAGACATGAGCTCTCTAGGTTTCAGGTACCCCTTATTTCCACCATACACATATGAAGAAAGTAAATGTACTCACACTCCTTTTTCACCTCACTGGTTCCTAAAGGCATTTGAGCTGGTTGCCTTTAATCTACTCCAACCCCAAACCATATCCAGTGCAACTTAAGTTTCCTGCCCTGCCCACGATCACTGGATTCATTCAGGCATTCCACAAATATTTAGTGGGCATTCTTACTGTGTTCTAAGGTACTAAGAATTTAGGGTCAACAAAACAAAGGTCCCTGTCCGCACGGAGCTAATGTTTAGTAAGGGGAAGAGATGAGTGAGTATCAAGTACTTAAATCTGCAGATCACTGACATTCAGCCTACCCAACACCTCTTACCCCTCAAAGCCCTCCAGGTCAAGAACTACCTCCTTGGCATGGTCTTTTTGATTAAGCTAGACTTTACCAAGCTACCCTTATTTTTTTTTTTTTT